TAAAAACGGCATCGATTGATGATTTTTTTGAAATAAAGGATTCTAATATAATTCCCCTAGACGCGTTTTTTAAATCTAAAAATTCAAATGAGTATTTTTGATAATTTTTTTTATATAAAAAATATTTATATAATCTACCTTGTCCTCAAGTGGTAGTGTTGAGAGATTATTTAGAGGCGAAGTTTATACTTTCTGATCGTCGCTCTAGGCTTGGCGGTGATAGTATGGAAATGATTTTATTATTAAAATGCAAAAAATGAATATTACCATAAATAGTTATTTTTATTACATAAATCATAGTTTTTTTACATAAATTTTTTAATAATCAAAATTCTTAACATCATCCTTAAATTGGGGGATATATATACTCTTCTCCCATCATACAAATCCCTTTTCTTGTTAAAAAATTATTTTTTATTCCAAAGATATTCTATGCACTCCTTTTAACACCCATTTTTAAATATCCTCTTCCACTTAAAACATACGAAAATGGAAAAAAGGACCTACCGGAAAAGATTTGACGAAACCGCTTGGGCCCAAGCTTCGCTCACAACCAAATTCGGGGGATTGGGCATTAACCCCTATGACCTAGCAATAACTTCTTTCATATCGAGTAACCTCTTGTCAGCAAATAAGGCTTTTCTTTAATCAAGGCCATATATTTGTGGAAAGCACTAAACAATGTTGATTCTCATCCTCCCACAACCCATAGAAGAATGACTGGGATGTGCCTGTATTTGCTCGCTGCGTTATAATACTCTTATTAGTCTGCAATCTACAGACCGCATTCTATTCTTTTCTGCTTAATAACAGTACTAGTACTGTACATAAGTTTTTTTTCGAAGCCATTTCTTCTGTCAATCTTCAACTTTCCAATAAAACTTACCCACACCATTAGTATTCGCCTTCAGGGGCGGACTGGCCATAAGACCAGTTGGGCATTTTGCCCATGAGACCGCGAGAAAATGTCTATTTTTGAGGCCGATCAGAGGAAAATATCCAAAAAGAGGCCGATTAGAAAAAAAATATATTATTATATTCACATTATTTTCTATTATCATTTATTTATATTTAATGATATCTCTATGATTTTAATATCACATTTCTTGAGAATTGTCATGTCGTTTACTATATTTTAATGCATAAAATATCAATAAAGTCGCTTGACGCTATACATCATTACCAGGTTCTTTTCTTTGTTTTTTTTCAATTGAGGTGAAAACGCTCCTTTTGAGTAGAGTGAAAGCTAAGTTTTGATTAATTTATTATATTATATTTTTATACATTGATTTATTGTAGAAATAATATAGCCAACATTTCTTGTTCTAAATTCATTGAAATCGAATAAAATCCAGGTCGGTGAATCAGATAAAGAGATGGATGCTTGGGTAAAACAGAATAATTCATCTGACCAAAATAAGTTGAGAAGGCTGCAAAAAATAAGTGAGATAAGGTGGTGGGCACGTGAAAAAGCCCTTAGATGGATATATGGTAAAGAGAGCTTGCTCTGAATAACGATAAATTGATTCTTATTTATTTGTGCTTTTATAAAAACAAAGGAGTTAAATTTATAAATTTGTAATTTGTGATATATTATTAGTTCGATTACAGTTTGTATTTTATAAATTAAATTAACTTAATAAAAGGTAATTATCAGTTAAAAAGGCATTACAATTTCTTTCATTTTAAAACAGTATACATTGTCGGTCCTGAAATGGTCGATTTATCAGGCATACGCAATGTAACTCAATCATACAACAAGCCTTGAAATCAGCTCAAATACCCTCTAAACTAGAACCCCATGGTCTTTTTTGATGAGGCGGTAAGCATCCTGATGGGATCATTCAAATTCTGATGAGGAAAGGCCATTTATTGGTATGGGACTACTCATGTATTGACCCCCCTTGCTCCTTCCAACCAGGCCCTCAACATAATTAACCACAAGAGAACAACTCTCCAAATACACAGAAATTTCAAATGACCATTTTTTTATTCCTATCATTTCAGGGTCACAAATCAGCAAACTTTCAGAAGGTTGACCATAGATATACTTTAAGCGAACTATATCAACTTTAATAGTAGTCTACTATTTTTTTCTCGCTTTATATCATCCCCGATCTTTATACCGTTTTTGATATTTATTATATTTTAAATATTTTTATATATTTTGTATATCTATTTAAAATTTTTTTTTAATCTGATGATAGGATATATGCACTATTGAATTAAAAATATATAATAAAAAACAAATGAGGATAATTAAAAAATTACATTTAAAAAAAGAAAAACGTAAAAAGGAAATAAGAGAAAAAAATATATTTAAAAAAAGGGATACATATCACCCTAAAGATGAGTGAATACTTAAAAAATGGTAAAATCCTTCATTGGGGTCTCCTGAGCTCTGTCATTTTATGATTTTAAAGAAATTGAGGTCCTCACTTCCAAACATGCCTAGGGTATTGGTAATGATTGGTATGAACACAGTGTTGGTGAGGCCAGTGTATTTGTTTTTTTTAGGATTTCTATTTTTCGATGGTAGATAATGAGAGGTTGGACTTTGCTGCAAAATCGACACAGGTATAGTCCCAAGCGAGCGGAAGACCATTAGTCCAAGGAAAGAAGGGGCGTTTTCGTTTGAGAGGCTCACTGGTTCGAGAGTGGATGGAATATTGCAAGGGGGGAAAACTTGCAATAACTTTGGGGTTTGAGTCGATAATAATATGAGAATGATTTTGATAATGAGATGATTATTTATTATTTTATGTCGTTTTATTTAAGAAAAATGTATATATTATTTTATGTAGTTTTATTTAAGAAAAATGTGTATATTATTTTATGTAGTTTTATTTAAGAAAAAAGTATAATTTTTTATGTGAAAAATATCATATATATAAGAATTTAATTTTTTTTAAAAAAATCAACTTTAAAACTCAAAAGTGAATATATATATATATAATATCCAATTATCAAGTCACAATACAATTTAAATAACGCCTTAAACATTAAAATATAAATTGAAAATAAAATATTATTTTACAATATTTACAATCAAGTAACATGCACCACTTAAAATAAAAAAAAACTCTAAAATCCAATACCATTCAAATCTATATAATAAATGACAGTGATGGCATAATTTATGATGGGGAAGTAACTGAAATTAATGATAGAGGAGAAAGAGCTCGCTTGGCATGAGAGCGAAATTAATTGTACCTTTGTAATAATTGTAAAGGAGAGAAATAAATATAATGGGAAAGGGAAATAAATATAATAGGAAAGGGAAATAAATATAATGGGAAAGTGAAATAAATATAATGGGAAAGAGAAATATTGCCTTATTTCAATTTGTTATGTCCTTATTTGAAATACAATTATTATAATGGGATGGGGAATTAATGTATCTTTATATTATTGTTGTTTCCTTATTTTGGAATCAATTAATAATTACAATAAGGAGGGGAATCAATGTATCTTTATAATATTGTTGTTTCCTTATTTTGGAATACAATCAATAAATACATTAAAAAGGGGAAAAGTGGGCATAAATATATCTTTATAATATTGTTGTTTCCTTATTTTGGAAAACAATCAATAAATATAATGCAAATGAGAATAAAAAAATTATTTGCAAGGAAGGGAATCAATATAATGCAAAAGAGAATAAATGAAGTTATTTATAATAGTACAATAAAAACTAAGCATACTTTATAAAATATTAATTAATATTCAACAAAAAAAACGAAATGTTAAATGACAACATTTTTTTAACTTATAATTAATATATATATACATACATAATTTTCTACATTCATTAATATATGAATTTTTTTTAAATAATTAATTATTTTTATATTATCTTTTTAAAAAATGTTATATCTTGCAATTTATATTTATATACAGAATTGGGCAGTACCGCGAATATTTGTATCTATGATACAAGATCCTTTTGCATCTTATACTCAGTAGCTTATTAAAGTATATTATTTATATATGGTTAAAAAGATGGTATGGGAAATAGAAAGAAAATATTTTCCTAAGGTATGAATATAATGAAGCTTTTTGGTATCAAATCACATCTATATTTTAAGAACTTATGAATTGAGTGGGATGATAAAATATTTTAAAAATATATCATTAAAAGAAACTATACCAGAGTATATAGCACCAATATATTTAACATCTAATAGATAAAATGACGCTTATTTTTCTTCTGGTGAAGCAAATGTTGCTGATTACAATAATACATATAAAATTAAGCTGGAGGTTTAAAATTATAATAAAGAAAGTCGAAATACCATTATAAATGCTTAATTATTATCCTTCCAATGAAATTTTTTTTAAATATAATACTATACCTTCATCAGCCCCAATTGAAAGTTTATTAGTTTTTGCACTATGTTAAGCAAGCCAACGGCAAAGGTCAAATGATTAATTATTTGAAAAATCTGATTATCTTATAAAATAATGAATCTATTTTAAATACTCTTTTGCAAATTAATATTTAAACTTTCATTAAAAATAGTAGTCTCCCTCCTAATTATGCCAAGAATGGGCTAATACTTATATTAAAATGTTTGATTATTATAATTCATTATCAAATATTTTATTAATTATTATAAATATTAATTTTTATTATATAGGTATGTTATGTTCTACACGAATAAATAATAAAAACTGTATTTTAATTTGGTATTGATAATTTAAAAGTATCTTGTATTTAAGATATTCTAATTTAATAAAAGATACAAATATCTTTTATGTTGTATATTTTGATATTTAGAAAGATACTAGTATCTGTATTCAAAATTCACTTTTTTAAAGAATCTGTGTCTATAAGATTCTTTTTCTGGAGGACTTGCCCAACTCTGTTTATATGCGATTTAAATAAATAAAAATTGATAAATGGTTTGCTTAGTAAGAAATACCCCGAAAGGCGACATAATTTTGGTTGCCTTAAAAAATCTTAATTTTATTGTATATCAATGTTTATTTTTATATACTTTAGGGGTAGCATAATTTAGATGCATGCCCATTTTAGGAGCTCCTAGTAGAAGTGAATGTAATATATTGTTACCATCTCCTATCCATGCTATTTTCAAATCTTTTAAAAAGCCAAAATGTTCCTGAATTATAAAAATATATTATTTAATATAAATTTATATAATATTATGAACAAGTGAAATAATAGGTTGTGGGGTGGGAAGGGGGGGGGAGGTGCCACTTATTTTTTTGAATACTTCAGTATTCGCTTAAGTAATTCGGAGAATTTTTGTTTGTAACCAAAAGAAGTATTAATTCGATGGTTGAAGTATTAGTTGGGTTAATAGCGCATCTATGTAATTTGAGTAGTCGTTTGGTTTATTCCAGGTTAATGACGATTTGTAACTTCTACAGTTTATCTTCCTCTTGTGTGGAATTGTCAAAGAGCGCTCCTGATAAATATCTCCATCTCAACCATCCTGATATATCATCTTATTCTTTTATCTGAATGTGCCATTGCTTTGTAGAGTGGAAACTAGATATTTACAGCCTAGTTGCAATTTATTTATATCAATTATATCTGTTTACCCGCCTATTACCATATATTATGTTTTTTTCATTGCTGACTTTCAGCCCGTGATTTACTATAATACAGAAAGAAAAAATTTCCAAAATTTTCGATTTTTTTAGATACTAAAATATATTTTAACAAATTTAGAAGACCAATAAAATGGGGAAAAAAAAATTTAAATTGACTAAAAAATTAAAATTTTATCAAACTTTCATTTAAAATGCTTACTAAAATATTTTTTTATTGCCATTCAAATGAAATGCTGTCAAAAAATAAAAAATATTGATAATTTTAATTAAAAAACTGATATGTGTTACTAATCTGCCCTGAGCATCATAAATTTCAAAACTTACCTTTTTTGCTTATTAAACACCTTTTCCCAAATTTGCTTTTAAATTTTACAGATAAGCAATCATAATATTTTCATTTTATTGTACGAACAATATTAAAGTTATAAATGTTATTTAAATAATATAATTCTGAAATATATTTGTTTTCCTGATGAGTAAAAATTGAATATAACTTCTGTTTCTCCCTTCCATAAATTACTTATAATTTTTATGGTATAACGCCCGTTTTTTGGAATTGAACGTTCCAACTCTAGTAAATTTTCCCCATATCAACTGCTAGTTTCATTGGCATTCATATTTTACGTTCTCTGTGTCCTAAGAAATATTTGAAATTCTTCTGAAATAAATCTTTAATAAAATCTTAATGTAACATGTTTACAATATATTCTAATCCATTTTCTTCACAAAGATTCTAGTTCTAGGATCTTTTTTGATAATTTCTAAAATTATTTTAGAGAAGTTAAATTTTTATTTAGGGGAATTTTTTTCCGTTTATATTTTTATAAGCTAAATAATAGATTTTTTTGCAGAGAAATATTTTCAAAGTATTATTTTATGCAGGAATTTATTTTTCTAGGAAGATTTTTTCCCGAGATTTTATTTCAGGCTGAATTTTTCCCGGGAATAATTCCGATGGAATTTTTTAACGGATAATTTCCCCAGATAATAATTATCCGGGGAATTATTTTCGCTTACCATAAAGGATTGCGAAAATCATGTTAGATGGAGTAAACTCCGAGTTGGTCTGCAACAGAGCATTCACGATTATGAAAGTAGAGTAAAGGAGCTAAGAGCCGAATAATGATAATTTTTTTGGGCTATTGAGAAGCATATGATGTGTCATTTATGCTTTGGATCACTGTAGTATGGTTCTTATACATGTTTTGTGTGATTCTTACATTTTTGGGGGCCTTATGCTGGGTAAAGCCTAAAATTTTCTTGGAATTAGATCAAAAATTTCCTCTACATCGAGAAAAACTATATAAAGATTCTTGTTTCTTTCCCTATGTTTTTCACTCATTTGTCTAATTGTATGAATTGCATCAGTCGTTGATCCAGTTATAAATCCTAACTTATTTCATCTATGTTTCACACATTCTTTTTTATCATTTTTTCGTAGTGCTTTACACAGTGATATAGTAGTTTCATGCCTCCAAATTTCGACTTATGAGGATCACTCATTTTTTAAAAAATAGGACAGATAGCTGCCTCCATCTCTGAGGGTTCTTTTCACTTTTCGGTATCTTATTGTAATGTATCGTCAGATTAGATTCTTTGAACAAATTTCCCAGCCCATTATTTAAATTGTCCGTCCAGAAAAATTTTTTGCTAATTTCTAAGCCGGTCCATAAAAATTTTACAAAAAGTAAGACCCAGATAGTTAATAAATTTTTAAACTGTATTTATTTTTTCAAAAGATACACTTGAATTAATTGTAATTTGATATGTGTATTGTGTATAAATAATGCCTGGGTGGCCGAATAAAATTTTACAAATCAGAGATTTGCGAGGATAGGCCCGAATTATTAATTGCCGAACCCGTTAAATATTTTGCCCGGATAACAGACCCGCAAGCGGGCTTTTTACATCTCTAATATAAATTAAATTATAAAATGCAAAATGTATTTTTTTAAATAATCATTGTAATCAGAATTAGAGAAAAAATCAAGATCTTATCCATTACATCCAATTTAAATAAAGCTGAAAATTTTTTTTTTAAAATAATGTCGATTTCGAAGATATAGGTTTCATTTCCATTAAACATCTTTTAAAGATATTATGATTTTTATAAGATATTTTTACCATAGTATCTGGAAGAGCCTCCACATTCTCTATGTCATTAAGTATCAATATTGTTAAATATGGATTTGGGTAATTCCATACCAAATCGATAACTTTTCGGCCCGACCTTTTTAATTTCGATAAAATTTTGTATACTGAGAGAATATCATTTGAAAGCATCGAATCCAAAATTTTAGCTTCCTAGTACTCATAGTTCCAGAGATATCAATGGTCAAAAACGCTAAAAATGACCTTTTTTCGAAAAATACGATTTTTTAAAATTGAGATAAGTTAAAAAATAATGATTTTAAGAATATAAGTTGTATGTCATTTTGTAACTCTATTAAAGGCCTTTTATTAAATATTAAAGATTTTTTTGAAATAATATTGTTGCGGTTTTTATTTACGTTATAAATTTTAAACATAAAATTCCAGGTGTTTCGCTTTCCAAATTTTTTTGAATTTAATATTTTCTTATTCTCTAACCTTATATCTATTCATAAAAAAATTTAAACTTGGGACAGCCATGGGTTTTTTAGTTATTACGATTTAAAAAATCAAAAAATAAATATTTTTCAAAAATAGATGGCGCTCCTTTATAAAATAACGTATTTTGTTATAATTATTATTTTTTTTCACTTTTTTTCACTTTTAAACATAAATAATAAGATTTTCCAGCATTACTATCAGGAAAAAATATTATATAGATCGTTTGATAGGCTTACTTATTATGAGAGATTTGCAAAGTTAGGCCCGGCCCGGGCGGGCTTTGGGCCTAATTCTATTTAAAATAATCAGGTTCGGGCCGGGCTAATATTTTGGAAAAAAATTCGGGCTGGGTCGGGTCGGACCTTGGAAACTTTTTTAAATATATATACATTTATCAATTTTATATTGAATTTTTTATGTAAAATAAAAATATTTGATTTTATTTATTGAAACTAAACGACATATAACATATGTCTTTTATTTTGAGTAATTATAAAAATTAATTCCTATATTTAAATAAATTCGGGCCGGGTCGGGCCGGGCTGGGTTTGAAAAATTAGGCTCGATGCATATCACTACTTATTATTATTGCTATATTGATAATTTGTAAAAATTAGTTTTTATAATAAATGATTAAATTACCTAAAAAGATAGTTAAGATTCCGATATCTCATACAAGAAAATTTATTATTTAATTGTTGAAAGATAAAGGCTAATTTTCATGTACCTGCCCTAATATTAATTAATTTTTATTTTACAAATATTTTGATATTAATTATTTTTCTTCTTAAAATTATTTATAATGTATAAATATAAATGCGTAAATCCTTTTAAAGAATCTAAACACTTTAATTATAAAAAGAACCTGCGCAAAGTCATGACGTGGATGACACAATATCCAAACATTGAGGCGGAACATTATATTTGTGATAAATGCCGTAAAAGGTTATCACAAAAAAATATCGAAAATAAAAATTCTGATAGTGAATATGTAAATAACAGCATCAACATCAATAGAAATAAATCAATATAACTTTAAATGAAATAGGAATATCTCCTATTAAGAAAATAAAACTAACCGAAAAAAATTATCCAAAAAAAAGGCAGCAAAAATAACAAAAGCGATTACAGATATAATAATTAACAATCCAGATTCGGATACGAAAGATAATAATGATATACTCAATAACATGAAATTAAAATATCCCAAAAATAAAAAATATCAATTGCTGACCATTCTGCCTCCTAATTGGAGCGCAAATAAAATAAAAACGACATTCAACGCTACATATCATATGGCATATAATTCCAAAATCATTTTAAAAGAAAAGGTCTTTCAACTCCAAATCGAAAGCCTGCAAAATATCTCAATCAAAAAACAGTTGATATTGTTTAAAAAAAATTTTTGCATTGATAAAGTTAGTAGGTATTACCAGGAAAAAAAGATTGCATATCTATCATTGAAAAGGGGGAACGAGTGAACGCTCAAAAAGGTTAGTTTTTAATAATTTGAAAGAATTATATAATCATTTTAAGGCGAGTAATTCAAACTTAACAATTGGATTTTCGAAATTTGCTAGCTTAAGACTAAAAAATTGTATATTAGCAGGGGCTAGTGGAACACATAGTGTATGCGTTTGTAGCATACATCAGAATATTAAACTTATGATTTTAAGTAGCAACATTGACTAAAAATGCTGAGAATGCATAACAACTTATAAAAATGTTATAGGCAGAATGATTTGCAATCCCCCGTTACCCACCTGTTATTTTATTGATTGCAACGAATGTCAATATATCCACGTGAAGATATTTGATTGAGGATCTGATAATCGATGAGATTAGAGGATATGTAACATGTGCATATGAAAACGATTGGTGGTTAAGATTTGTACAAGAAGTGAATGTAATTAGAGATGAAGTAAAAAATAATTTTTCTTCACCCTAAAGG